ATATTAGTAGATAAATTTGGAGACCATGCACGTGCTGCTCTTGGCCTTAGTTAGCATATAAGTTTGTTTGAAGTCATTTTTAGCCATCAACCCAGCTACAAAGCCAGCATAAACAAATGACATGTAACAAATGAGAAACTGTAGCACTCAGGTCCATGTCATTCATTCATTCAAAGAGACACTTCTTACTTTTATTTTTTTTAAGACAGGGTTCAAGCTGGCTCTGAATTCACTATGCAGCCCAGGCAGTTCTCAAACTTATGGCTGTCCTCCTCCCTCAGCCTCTGAAGTGCTGTGATGACAGCGATGTGCCACCATGGCCAGTCTACTCTTTTACTCTTGGATAAATACTTTCCCTAACTTAGCGGTGGTACTGTCAGGGTTAAAATGACCAAGTGGACATGGTCACTGAAAACATGGAGATTATGTTCTAACACAGGGGAATGGGCACCATCTTAGGGTACCAATGTATCTGGGCTTCCTCTAAGAGGGTGCCATCCTGGAGGTAACAGCTACTGTGGCTGTGACAGTCACACATAATTATGGGCAGCAGAGCTGGCATTTCTCATATACACGTATGGACAGAGTTACAAACAGAACTTGAGAAACTTAACGAGAATGTTAAAGGAAATAGTTACTAACGGACTAGGGGCACAGCTCGGTGGCAAAGTGCTTGTCTAGTACATTAAGACTCTATGTACAACACACACACACACACACACACACACACACACAAATTATCTCTCCGTTCCCCGTGGGTCTGTGTTGGGCACAGAGCAGCTCTCTCACTACCCTAATCTAACAGACTGGTCTTTGAGATGTGTATGCATTTATGGTGCCTCACTGAGCAGAAAAGATCAGCCTGGGTTAGGATGTTCAAGTGCTACTGAGCAAGGGTTTTTCAAGGCAGGAAGAGACAATGGCGTAGGCCCACCAAACCTGTCTCCAAGTCTCCCGTCTGGAGTAAATATTTGGAGTTAGCTGAGCCAACTGACTATGGGTGGGGTGGGGGAGGGGCAACCGACAATTGGAGGGGCAGGAAAGGTGTTCCCTGGGGCCTGTGGAGGAAGAGAGAGAGGTTTTGGATCCTTCAACAAGGTACACGCCTGCATTATAGAGTTCACAGTCCTTCATGCCACATCCTCCATCCTATCAAAAGGAGCTTAGCTAAGGATCCCTGGAATTGATGCTGAAGGACGAAGTCACCAAAAATGGAAAGTGAAAGAGATCAGAGAGATCAGACTAGGATGAGGCCCAGCCAGAAAGCTAAACTTTCAGAGGTGAGAAGTAACTGCTGTTTATGTAACTGGTACAGACCTGGGGCTAATACGTCTGTCTGAGGGTCTGAATGTGAGGGAAAGCTGGCACTGATGGACACAGGCCCCAGAGCAACTGATTCATGAGAGCCATGTCAGCGATGGCCTCAGTGACAGACACTGTCTCCTTCCCGTCTTCTCTACAGAAAGCCCATGTGTTTTTGTGTGTTGCTAGGAGACTGCTTCAGACTTGGGCTCCTCTGATGGAGGCCCTGAAGCTGGGGCTAACGCCAGGACATCCGAGTGTCAGGTTGGTGACCATGTTGCTCTTGGGGATAGTTCTTCTCCCAAGCATCCACGGTCACCTGGGCCCAGGACATTACTCTTCCTATGAAATAGTGATCCCCAAGAGTCTGACAGTCAAGGGAACTGAAGACCCAGCGGAAAAGACATCTTACACGCTACTTATGCAAGGCCGGAAGCAGCGGGTTCACCTGAAGGTGAGGAGAGACTATTTTGTGCATGACTTTCCAGTCTACAGTTACCACAACGGCATCCTGGGACAAGAAATTCCTTCCATCTCACATGACTGTCACTATGAAGGCTACATAGAAGGAGTGCCGGGTTCTTTTGTTTCTGTCAACACCTGTTCAGGTCTCAGGGGCATCCTGATTAAGGAGCAAACATCCTACGTCATCGAGCCCATACTCTCTTCCAAACGGTTTGAACATGCGTTATACAGCGTGGCACAGCAAGCTCCAGTCTCCTGCAGCATCTCTCCCAGAGACAGCCAAGCGGTATCCACCAGCCAGCAGCAAGAGAGCAGGAAGCCTCACGATCTACAGGCACTGTCCTACTTGTGGTCACGCACCAAGTACGTGGAGATGTTTGTTGTGGTCAACAACCAGCGGTTCCAGATGTGGGGCAGCGACGTCAACGAGACAGTGCAGAGAGTAGTGGACGTCGTTGCTCTGGCCAACGTCTTTACTCGAGGAATAAACACAGAGGTGGTGCTGGCTGGGATGGAGATTTGGACCGAGGGGGACCTGACAGAGGTCCCAGGGGACCTGCAAGTTACACTCAGGAATTTCAATAGCTGGAGACAAGGGGAGCTCCTCCCTCGTGTGAGGCACGATGTTGCCCACATGATCGTTGGGCATCATCCTGGAGGGACCTGGGGCCAGGCATTTCTCAGTGGAGCCTGTACAAGTGGTTTTGCGGCGGCTGTCGAAGCTTTCCATCATGAAGATGCCCTCCTGTTTGCAGCGCTCATGGTCCACCAGCTGGGGCACAACCTGGGTATTCAGCACGACCACTCCGCCTGCGTTTGTAAAGGTAGGCACTTTTGCCTCATGCATGAAACTGTCACTAAAGAAAGTGGCTTCAGCAACTGCAGCTCTGACTACTTGTACCGCTTCCTTCATGAACACAAAGGGGCCTGCCTATTTAACAAGCCACGGTGCAAAAGCCGCGGGCGCAGGGACGCCAATTGTGGAAATGGTGAGGTGGAGGCCCCGGAGGAGTGTGACTGTGGTTCTGCTTGTGACGGTGACCCATGCTGTGAACCAACGTGTAAACTGAAGGAGAATGCACAGTGTAGTCGTGGACTCTGTTGTGATAAGTGCAGTTTCAAAAAGGAGGGGGTGGTATGTCGTTTTGCTCACCGTGAGTGTGACCTCTCAGAATACTGCGATGGGAATTCTGCAGAATGTCCTGAAGACAGTTACAAACAAGATGGCACGTTGTGTGATAGAATTTACTATTGCTTTGAGGGTCAGTGTAGGTACCCTGACTTGCAGTGTCTGAATCTATATGGGTACCCTGCAAGGTCTGCCCCAGAGGCCTGTTACTTGTCAATGAACAGCAAAGCACACCAGTTTGGAAACTGTGGCCATCCCACTGAGAATGCAGCATATATTAATTGTACCGGTGATGATATATTTTGTGGAAAACTTATATGTACAGATGTTCAAGCCCTGCCACGGAGGATGTCGCATTATACGCTGATCCAGGTTGCCCATGGAGATGACTGGTGCTGGAGCATGGATGCCTATAACACTACCGATGATGATGTGGAACATGGCAGTTACTGTGCCCCAAACAAAATTTGCGATGGTTACGTCTGCACCGAATATTCTGTGCTCCACCATGACTGCGATTCAGAGTTACTGTGTCATGGGAATGGAGTGTGCAACAATTTAAGACACTGCCATTGTAACGATGGATTTGCACCCCCTGACTGTAGATATCCAGGATATGGGGGTAGTGTGGACAGTGGTCCTGTGCCTAAGCCACTTAATAGAATTCTAATTGAAGATGACATTAGAAAACATACTGTTAGCAATGAAGATGCCAACAGAGGTAGTGAGAATGATAAAAACCAAAGTATTGGTAAGATGGTATACATTTTTCCCCTCTTTCTCTTAATGTTATTTTTGGTTCTAATTATTGCTGCCATTGTTAGGACGAGAAAGGAGCTCTCACTGTGCTCAGAAGGTGACTTAGAAGAAAACCCCGAAGTGATTGTACCAGAACAGATTGTACACGAAGGGCAAGGACCAGAAGATTCCCCGACTGAAGAAGCTAACACATAATGCACAGAGCAAAAGAAGCTCCATACAGGAAAGACGAAGTGGATACCAATGCCGCAGAGCCTAATATCAGGACACTATTATTTGCAGAAATGTACTAATAATATGGGATGGGTTGAGATATTTTCTTGTCTTTTAGAAGTTGATTAAATATACCTTTGTAAAATTATATTTAAAATAATATTTTATAATTTTTTCCATTTTCACATTTCATAAAACAATTTTTTTTTTTTTTAATACCGGGGATTGAACTTGGGTCCTTGCACTTGCAAGGCAGGCCACCGAACCACTGAGCTAAATCCCTGGCCCCATAAAACAATTTTAATTAAACCTTTCTTATAGATGATTCCTATCAATGTCATACCTCAGTAGGGTCAACTTTTGACTTGCTTATTGTAAGGTAACACTGTCTTGCATCTACTGTTTGACATATAATATTATCGTATTATACCTACAATGCAATCTTAGGATTTTTCATCCCAATCAAAACTGTACATTATTGGGTTAGTTGCCTATAGGATGTGCTGTTTCACTTTACCCTGTGAAATACATTCATAAAATGAATGCATTCTAATATAAAAGTACCTAAGTATAAAAAAAAAGTACCTAAGTGCTTATTTTCTGATATGGTATCACTTTAGGCTTTATGAAGGGTGACCAAAATATATAGTGTATGTTTAAACTTTAAACATTTTATTACAAGGGGCCAGAGATGTAGCTCAGTGGCACCACGCCTGCCTGGCAAGCGCTAGGCTCTGATTCCCAGTAACAAAAAAGATTTATAGCACTAAAAGAGACATTGCCATTAGTCCCCCTCAAAATATTCCCCCGGCTTTGAACACATTTATCCTACCATTCTTTTCACTGTGTGGAGCAGTTTGGTAAGCTCTCTTTTGTGTCTTTATGAGGTATTATAAAATATATATTAAATTATGCTGCCCAGTACCATTTAACAATAATACAACTCATAAAACATTACAGTGGTTTGTCATTCACCTTATTCACTAGATCTGGCACTATGCAACTTCTTGCTTTTCCCTAAAGTCAACTATTAGAAGTCATCATTTGAAATCAATTCAGGATATCATAACAGGCACAATAGCACACCTAAAGGCATGAAAAGGAGCTTTAGAACTGCGTCAGAAAGAGGCAAGAACAATGGGGTGTGTTTGAAGTAAGGGGGGTGTTTTGAGGGGAATTAAAGGCAATGAGTCTTTTACTCTAATACATTTTAAACATTCACTGTATTTTTTTATCACATTGCTTATGTAGCCTAATAACATGGTTTTCTTTTGTTTGGGGGCTTGGTTAATTCTTTAGGGCTGATCCAGGGAGGTCTAATCACTCTCTGTGTGCAAGGGAGTAGGCAGCGACTTAGGCAAGGAGTCCCTTGCACAGTGCTGAATTTATGTTTGAAGTATGCATTTTTCCATTTTTATTTTTAATTTATTTTTCATTTCCTTTATTAATTTACTGTATTATTGATGCAATGCTAAAGAAAAGGGCTTTGGAGGGTAGTTATTTCTCTGCAGAGTAAGCACAATGAAAGTATAATTACATCTGTTTTGAACTGTATACTGTTATACAGTTTACATTCATTTCTTAACTTAATTTTCCTAATTGCCCTGTGATAACCCTGTCTTGTACACGAGGAAAGAAACACAAAAAGAGTTTGCTGTCAAGATAGCTAGTAAGTGGTGGAAATTGCACCTCTTACCAGTAATGAGTGAATCTACATTTTCTCCTGCCTGGTGAGCCTTTTTCTTCAGAAAAATGAGGGGAAGACATTTCATAAGTCTTTAGTTGCACAGAATATGGCCTTTTGTCTGTGACTCTACTGAAACAAAAGCCTTAAGCATAGATACTGACCTTTACCACTTATTACTGTGCTGTGTACGTACAGATTAAAGTGCCTCTCCCCCACCGTATCTTTTTGTTTGTTTTTGAGACAGGATCTCACCATATAGATGAGGCTGGCCTTGAATTCAGTAAGTAGCCCAGGCTGGCCTTGAATTCCTGGCAGTCCTCCTGCCTCAGCCTCCTGAGTGCTAGGATTACAGGCATGTACCACTATGACTGGCCCCCCAACTGGATCCTGACAGCATGGAATGGTGGATTAGTATCTTAGTTCTGATGGAATAGCTTGTTGTATGTAGATGCTCAATAAGTATTGCCAAGGGAATTATATAACCAGAGCCATAACTACTCCTCCCATTAAACTATGGGGGTTGCTAATTCCCAGGTACGTCACAATGATTGTTCCAAGGCTCAGGGAATCAGTCCCTGAGGAGATACTGGGTGAATCACTACTTACCTTGTATGAGTAGAAAACAACAAAGAGAGGGCTGGGGATATAGCTCAGTGGTGCATGCCTGCCGGGCAAGCGCAAGGTCCTACATTTAATTCCCAGTACCAGGAGAAAAGAAAAGAAAAGAACAAATGAAGAATAAGACTTAGCTTCTGCTGTACTTTCAAGGTCTAATTTAGTTACTTTTGGGGGGGGGGATATTGGGGATTGAACTCAGGACCTTCAGCTTGTGAGGCAGGCGGCAGCACCACTGAGCTAAATCCCCAATCCTAAATTAGTTACTTCTGGTAGAACAAAACTGAATTTCAATGCAAGTCTTCAGGTATGGATGCATAACTGTACATAAAATAGGCAGAATAACTGTAAGGAATCAAGATGGGTTTTGATAATCCAGATGTTTTTAATGCCCAAAATATCAAAATTCATACAGGGCAACCAGGCTATAAGTTGGGAGTGAGTAGTCCCCTGAGAATTTTGAGAATAAGGTTAAAGCTGGGTAACTTTCTGGAGAGGGGTAAGGGGGTCAGGAAAAAGTGGAGGTAGACAGAAAGGGGATTTAAAAAATGATCAGGGTATGATTTCCACATGTACCAATTCCCCAATGTGAATATAAATATTATGTATCTCAAACATAAACTAATAGCAATTTAAACAGCAACCTGATTAAAAATGAAAAAAAGAGAGGCAACTGGGTAATGGAATGCCTCCCAATCATTGGACACTTCTGAAAAAGATGTTCAGGATTTCTGCTGAGAAGCACTTTCACAGACATCTGAGAAGTTACAGAAGAAGCAATCTTTCTCAGTAGGCATGCTGATACAATAAATGACTATAATAAAAGTTAATAAGCATCAGATTTAAAATCACAAGGATAAAGGAATCACGATTTATGTACGAGATAATTATTCTTGGTTGATTTAATGAAGTTCTTCAAGGAACAAAAGGCAAGTAATTAGAAAACAAGCAATAAATACTATTCAAGGTTTCTCAACATTTAACCAAAAATTTAGAAAATAAGGAGTCTCTATGTATGTGGTGGGAGGGTGGTTCTGGGGCTCAAAGCAAGGAATGTTCGGACCGGGGATTTAGCTCAGCGGTTCGGTGGCCTGCCTTGCAAGTGCAAAGACCCGAGTTCAATACCCAGTACCAAAAAAAAAAAAAAAAAAAA